TGTTTTATCTTTTTCTAGTGCACGTATAAGAGGGGATAATCTAGGAAACAGGTTTACTAGTCAGCCTTTCACTTTTGCACAATACAACTTTTCCTAAAGAAAGAGCATCAAGCTCAAGGTACGCATAGTTGTACCTGTCCGTGTGGCCTCGCCTACAGAAAAGTCAGCCAATGAAAACAAGGCTTGATGATCATTGTAACTGTTCGTCACCTTTTTCCTTTTATAAAACGGTAATAATGTTTTCTCGCTTCTTCTCTAACTCAGAGATGTGTGGAAATATAAAGTGAGGTTTGTAATTGATTGTAAATGTCAATAATGGGGAGATAAATAAGACCCAGAAAGTAAAGAGTAGTAGAGTAAAGAGCTGTAGAGTAATTAATTAAGAGGCCTGATGTTTGTCTACATGCTTTAAAATGTATAGATATTAAAAGCATAATGTGGGGTGAAAAACAAAAGTTAAGCCTCTACAAGGGCAAATCATGGAAACATGATGGCAGACACAGTGGAATTCTGGAATCTCTTTGAATCTCCCCATGCCCCCCCCCCCAACACCTATAGCAAGACCAAATACCCATAGACAGCAGGGACCACACAACTAGGTATCCCCATCAACCCTAACCTGCAAGTAGGTGAGGACAAAGCACATCATAACCACAAGATCTGTGGGTTATCAACTTATGTACCGGAGTGAGCAGAGGAAAGCCATGGATGGCAGATAAACCTGAGGACGGGACAATCCCAGAAGAGCTGACAGGGCCAATTAGAGATCAGCAGCTGAAACTGGGAGGGTCATCCACTGTAACAGCTGGTGAGTGTGGGGAGCTGAAGGTTGGAAGATCTAAAGAGGTGGGTGGTCTTGTCCTCACAAGCTCCAGAAACAGACCCTCCAGACCCCCCTCCCACTACAAGATGCACACTGAGAAGAAACTGCTGGGTTGGGGAAGTCCAGAAAAAAGTGGCTGGGGGAACAGAGTCAGAAAACCCCAGAAAGCAAGCTAGCTACCATAGATTTTTTTTTTAAAAAACACTACCCCCAAAACAGATGGGGCTCTGTACATTTAGAAAAACTTCTGTGAACCCCCTCTATTCCTAAGAGTTTTTGAAAACTAATTTCACCAAAAAATGAGCAGCAGAAATGTATCTAGGCCAACTCCCATACAAAGTTATTATAAGGAGAAAAAAAAAAAGATTAAGGAACAGAATAACATCCCTAGTAGAAGCATGCCAGAAAATCGTGCCAAAAAAAAAAAAAAAAAGTTAAATCATTATTTCAAAACGAGCTAAGAGGCATTAATAAAACGGTGTAAGACATGAAAGAACAGCAGGAAGCCAAATTAGAAAAACTCAGAAATGGAATAAGAGAGCTCAGGGAAGAATAAAAAAATTAACCAAAAAATGAAGTCTAAACTGGAATGAACATAAAACAGTAAAAACAGAAGGTAAAAAAGAAGAGCCATTTTAAGACAGATAGTAAATGAAGAGAGATAAGGTACTTAAGTGATAAGTAACCTGGTGAAAATAGGAAAAGACAATTTAAAATATGAATAATAGAAACCCAAGAAGAAGAAAACCACACCAAGGAAACCGAACAAACTAAAAAGTTGCCTAAAATTAGAAAATATATATCTGAAATCACATTGAGACAGCACACTGCATGCCCAGGAACACCAATACACAACAGCTAACACCAACACATGTTCTCGTTAGATAACTCAGTTTCATAGAAGAAAGAAAAAGAATCCTCTGAATCTCAAGGTGAAAAGAGCAAATGACTTATAAGGAAAAGGAAAATTAGGTTATTGCTAGGGCTTTTAATAATATATTTAAGATGCATAGGTTAAAAAAAATTATATCCCAAGGATTTTTAGATCCAGAAAAACACTGATTTTCTAGTATAGAGTGGAGGCAGCCTGTTATCAACATGCAAGAATTCAGGGAATATTGTCCTTGTGAAGCCTCCCTGAGGAAGGAAGTTTAGACAACAACTCAACTAGAGACACATCCACATGAGGACTGGCTGTGAACATTAATCGCACAGTTGCTGAAGGAGCTAGGATGAAATGAGGGTGAAAAAGAAACAGTATTTTATGTAATGATTCTAAGCTCAGACAATGGAGTGCAATGATGAAGGAAGTGGAGTACAAAGAGGAAGTGGAAAGGCTTCTGTGAAAACCGGTTCTAACTGCTCTCAATAATAATAAAATGCATGGATAACAGCAGTGCTAGAACCGGCATTCTGAGACTGTTATGTGTGCAATGATGGTAGGTAAATGAGTAATTGTGGAATATTTTAAATCTATCAGTTCCTTAATTCTTGGCAACAAAAACTTCATGTGAAAAGAGAGACTTCGTGTGGAAAGAAGATATAGCTGTGATACAGAAGAGATTAAGAAAAAAATCTGTAGTTCTGAATTTGAATTTGAAATGTCAGTATGAACTCAAATATTTTATATTAAAAATTATCCCTGTCAGGTAATGCCCGTAGGGCACTGGCCACATACACCGAGGCAGGTGGGTTAGAACCTGGCCCAGGCCAGCTAAACAACAATGACAAAAAAATAGCCAGGTGTTGTGGCAGGTGCCTGTCATCCCAGCTACTTGGGAGGCTGAGGCAAGAGAATTGTTTGAGCCCAAGAGTTTGAGGTTGCTGTGAGTTGTGATGCAATGGCACTCTAACCAGGGTGACAGTTTGAGACTCTCTCTCAAAAAAAAATTTACCCATGTGAATTTATACATGTATATTTCCTATTGCTGTCCACCAAAGAAGCCTGGGAAGAATGGCCACCCCAGTAGCAATGAGCATGCCTAAGCCTACAGATTGTGGTCTTGAAATGCTATTTCTTACCCAAAGAAACTAGAGCCTTTAAGAGTAATTATTGATTTCAACTCTGTGGCTTAGAAATGTACAAGAAAGGGCCGGAACACCTTGTCCTACAAGTTAGTGAAGGTCAAGCTGTCAAAGGTCATTAAGCTCATGTCCAAGGACTCAGGAATCAACCTGAAGAGGCTGCCAGTGGTTGGTGCTCAATGGGACCATCTGAGCTTCAAAAGGACCATAACTGCAATTGACTGAAACCCATTGGTATGCTCAAATTCATGTGTTCATGATGATATTTTCAAGGAAACTAACTGATTTCTTGGAGATGGCAATAGAAAACAATGCATTATCTAGAAAACTGATAAGGGGAAAGAATCAAACACCTCCCCTGCCTTTCCTATATGAAATGTCTAAACAAAGCCGCTAGTTACCATGGAAATGCTTCTAAAATACGGTGATGAGGAAGGAAAGTGATACTCCTCAGTTTGTAGATAAAAGATAAGTGATAGGTTAGAATAGCGCCATTTTTAACCCCCAGTAAATGAATAAACATCATCACTGAATATCAATGGCTGCTAACATCACAAAAAGAAAAAAGATAAAGTCACTTATTGTGGCATTCTGAAGACAGAAAACAATGCCACTTATACGCTTGCCAAAGGAATCAAACTACAGTCTGGTGGAGCCTCTGGTCAGGCTGCCAATTTTCAGGAAATACAGAGCAGACTCAGTTATACCTCCGGAATGCAATCAGCGCCATCCAGACTGTGGGAAACTCTACAGGTCAGCTTTCACGGCTGCATTGTAAGAAAAAGGAAGGTGTGGCAAGGAAACTTGTGGATTAAAAGAGACTTAAAAGACACACCAAAATGTAAATGCTGCACAAGGCTGTGGTGTGTAAGGATGCCCACTTCAGTAATAAAACTATAAAGAAAGGCAAGAAAATGATTACCATAAAATCCAGGACATCATTCTTTTGCAGGGAAAGGAGGCTAGGATGGGACACAGGTGGCCTTCTGGAGAGGCTATCGGTTCTTTTCCCTTGTAAACGTACAGCTTGACTTTCAATAAGTGGTGAAACTATACATTTGCTTTGTGTGGTTTTCTACATTCGTCTTGTTTTTAACCAAGAAAAGGCTAAAAAAAAAAAAAAATCACTGGCAGTACAATGCTATACAATGTTTATGGATTCACACAAAGTGAATCTGACGAGAATAATATCCACTAAATTCATATGGGTGGTTCCTTCTGGGGAGGTGGGGGGGGGATGAAACTGGGGGTGAGGGAAGCCAAAGGGTTTCAGGTTTTTCTGCTATGGCTTAACTTCACAATAGAAAGATGTGATTTTGATGTATCAGATATGTCAAATCTTAACTATGGTCGATTTGTAACGTTGTAAACACACAACTGCGTGCATTATCCTCTCCCACTGTTTGTTGATGAATTTTAAACAGTTTTTCAGCCTGGGAAAGTATATTGTGATTGCATACAATAAATACTCTGAAAATGCTTTGGTGCTATTGCCAAAATGCGATAAATAAATCAAAGATACAATGCCATTAGTCCAACTACCTTCTTTAACAGAAAAAATAATGTAGGCATCTTTGATGAATTAGTTTCCATTAGGAGATTGAAAATTTGACTGTTGAAGAAGTATATTCATTATAACTGTCTTAGTAACAGTATTCTGTGAGGGAAATAGAGTTAATTTTCTTCCTGCTAACATCGAAAAACAAACACACAACTTGTTTAAACCACCAATCAGTTTCTTCTTTTGCAGGATGGATAAGGCTGTGTAGGCATCTTAGTGTGTATATGTTGGTCAGGTTAACATAAAATTATTGAAAATTGTTCATTATTTTGATTTCTTAGTACTTAAGGCCATGATCACTAAGTGGGAAAATCTTTATTAATGTGACACATAAATTACAATTGGCCATTCTACATTTTACTCCCTAAATCTCCATAGCAATTTTATTCTGTCATGATGGATAATGAGCGTCTAGGAGAAATTGCCTAGAGTGTTTGTTGTTGTTGTTTTAATTTCTTTTAGGATATCAGCCCATAGAAATAACACAATCTGATTCTGCTCCATAAGCATATGCGGGATAGAAACTCAGTCATGGTGGCTTGTAAGTGAGAAGAGAAGTAGGTCCGTAGCCGTGGACCCCCCCATACTTACCAGGCAGGTAGCTACACAATCTTTCCATCGAGGCCTCCACAGTCGAGTTGTGAACCTGTGCCAGCTGTTCAATCACAGAAACCACCAGCACACACCCTGCCGGGGAGCAGAAGAACATGTCATGAGTTTCACGTGGAAAGCTGGGCTGGAGGGCCAGGGGAGGTGGTGGTGGGAGAGAGACTTTAAGAACACCAGCCTTTCCAAAACAGAGAAGTTTTGTTGATTGCTTGCCTTTTAAAATCTATTGTGTATGAAAATACTCTGTGAATTGTGGTAAAATATAAAATGTGGTGAGAAGAGTGTGGGTTTGGGGTCAGAGAGCCTGGACATGTCAGTCTGGTTTTGCCATTGGTGAGCTATGTGAATTTGGGAGAGTAATTTAATCTTGCTTAATTTTCACTTCTTTTGACCACATAAGAGAAAGAGAGGATGCTTAAGTGAGGTGGTGTAAGGAAAGCAGCCCACACAGAGTAGACTAAGCTCAGTAGATACCAGCCCCTCTCCTCTCCCTTTTCTCTCCTGTCTGCAGTAAATGGCTTCATTACGAATAGGATCATTCCTATCCTACACATTCTCTGGAGGAGACCCAGGAGACCCAGCCTCAAATTTTTAAATTTGGAGAAGTGGTGGAAATTGCCTAGCATTTAAAGTCAGAAGATCTGGGATTGAGTCCTGACCTTGCAATCTTGGACTCATCACGCAGCCTCTCAGAGCCTTGGTTTCCTCCTCATGAAGGAGGTAATAACATGTTTCCTGTGGGGCTGCTGTGGTGATTAAGTGAGACAAAGTGAAACTGAGTGTACTTTTCAAATCGTAACACATTGAAAAATCTTATTTTACCTCATAGCTATAAAGCCCACTACTTGAAAGCATGTACCAGCATGCTATAGAAGGGCACCTATATTAAGTTAGGAATATATTCCTTCTGCTACTTTGATCTGTGATAAGTGTGACTATCCAGAGCCTCCAAGCTGACATTCTCAGAAGATTCTATCACCTGACGTGATCTAAAGAACTGCTGGGGAAGCCCAAACCTCTTTTTTCCCAAAAGAAAGAGATTTTTTTTCCTCCTGAACTACATACACAAGTAGTTGGTCAAAGCTCAGTAAGTATGTAAAAGGCAACTGTTAGATCTCATTGCAATAAGGGAAATGGACACTTAGCAGAGGTCGTTTCTAAGGAGGTGAGGGAAGGCTTACATCCAGCACAGAGGAGTTCCAGGGTCCCTGGCACCGGCAGTAGGCTCACTATTGTTCGTCTGCTGAAGAAATTGGGGACCCAATTCACATATATGGTGTCATTAAAATCAAATTCCCACCAGGATTCCTGGAGGGAATGCAGAGGACAACAGATGTGAACAATTGGGCATTTTTAAACAGAAAGAAATAAAACCTTCTACATAGTAAAAAATGAGAAATTTCCAATGAAGAATTTAGAAATTTTTACCTTTCTAGATCCTACAATGTCCAGTGATGCTTTAGCCTTGGTAGCTCTGTCCCTTCTGCCCAGGCAAAATCGAGACAGTGAAAGCTTGATAGCCATGGTCTTACTGGGCTCCGAGAGCACCTGCTCTTTAGTGTATCGCCATCAACTAGCAAAATCGACTGGCTGTGTTTTTAACCTCATGCATGACCCTTGAGGGCTTCCATACCTGGCAATGAATTTAGTCGCTGCCACTTATTAGCAATTTATGATCTAAAAGCACTTTTATATCCCTTTGTTTTACTTTAAAAATAGCCTTCTAAGAAAGTGAGGTGAAATCTATGTTAACCAGTTTGATGTAAGCATTCCAAATTGTATATAAAACATTATGCACCATAAATGCATTAATGTATACAGCTATGATTTAATGAAAAAAATCAAAATAGCTTTCCAAAAATAGGAACAAAATACAGTGTCGTCTTTGAAAAATTTAAAAATACAGTACAGTATAAAAATATAATAAACATCACTCAACTGAGCCCTAGATAACATATTTCACTTATAGGTCAAATATATTTAATACCCGTGAACATGAGGGTTGTCCATAAAGTATCCAGCCACACATGTCTCTATTTTTCATAGTACTGGGCTGGACACTTTATTTTCAACATTTATAATATACTTTTATGCCCTGGTCTATGTCTCTGATAATCACCATTAAGTTGGGTGGCACTAGATAAATGTTAACAATTGGAACTGAAAGACAACGGTAAGTGATTATAGTGCTATCAGTGAAGAAGACGCAGTGTGGCATGGTGGGAAAATGAGTGAGGCTTTGGGAAAAACCTGGGTTCAAATCTTGGATCAGCCACTTTCAAACAATGTGACTTTGAATAAAGTGCCTACTTTCTGGAACTTCCTTTTTAAGAATTTAGAGTTAGACCGTAAGTTCCTGAGGGCAGGAATAGTGTATGACCATCTGAGGTCAGGGAATAGGGAAGAGATGCTCACTGGCTTGAAAGGAGTTGACCTTAGAGCTTTGTGAGTGACATTTCAGTTGCCTGTTGCTGAGGGTATCCCTAGGCATGGGCTAATGGATGCACAAACAGTTACTGCCCAGCTGAGTCATCTCACCCATGTGGCTTCCTCTCTGTTACAGTATCCACAGAGGACATGGCTCCACTTCTCATTTTGATGAGAAACAACCAGTGCCCTCTCTCGGGCTGGAGAATCAGCTTCTGTAGCAAATGCACAGAATTGATGTGCAGCTCACAACTAGGGAATGAGGTGGTGATTGGGTTGTGTCTTAGTCCATTCTTGCTACTATAAAAAAATACCTTAGCTTGAGTAGTTTGTAAATAATAGAAGTTTGTTGCTCACAGTTTTGGAGGCTGGGGGGTCCAAGAGCAAGGCACCAGCAGATTCTGTGTCTGGTGAAGCCTTGCTTCCTGCTTCATAGTTGGTGCCTCTCACTGCATCCTCAGGTGGGGGAAGGTGCAAAAGGGCATAAACATTGTATTTTTTTTTTTTTTGAGACAGAGCCTCAAGCTGTCACCCTGGGTAGAGTGCCGTGGCATCACAGCTCACAGCAACCTCCAACTCCTGGGCACAAGCGATTCTCCTGCCTCCGCCTCCCAAGTAGCTGGAACTACAGGTGCCTGCCACAATGCTAGGCTATTTTTTGGTTGCAGCCATCATTGTTGTTTGGTGGGCCTGGGCTAGATTTGAACTTGCCAGCTCAGGTGTATGTGGCTGGCGCCCTAGCCACTCGAGCCACAGACGCCGAACCTAAACATTATATCTTTATCTGGCTTTGATGGGCCCCCAGACGGACAGAATATGATCCCTGTCCATAGAGGGCTCCCAGGATCCTTCCCCAAATCACATGAACTGGATAGTAAATACCAGTCAAATGCTAGGTGGAATGTGATTTTGAAGAGACTACGACAGTAGGCAGAAGAAAGAATGATTTTGAGAGAGAAACAAAACTTGGTCTGAATAAGCATAGTATATCAATTTAATTAGTGGCAGCTTTTCTTTCTCACTGGTACTTAAAATAATAGTCTTGTTTTTTTTAGCAATGGATGGAGTAGCAGTCTGTATGAGATGCAGGAATTGAAACTTATAACAGTTTGGGGTAGCAGGAATATTGAATGAGCATGAGGCATGAGGTAACCAAAATTGGAATTTGCCCTTGAGAAGCGTTCATCCCTGGTGACCCCAATGATTGTAAACCTTGGATGCTCTTTCCTTTACCTAAAAATTCAACTCCTGCACATATCTGCCTTGTTTTAATCCACAGTTTAGAAGGATGAGTGCAAAGTGAATTGGGCTGCTGGAGACCAAGCTGTTTCTTTGTACTTCCAGATCTGGACTTGTCTTCCACCTTTTACTCAGAGAAATTCCATCAAGGACTCTCACAATTATTGTGGTTCCTCACTACTGCTGGCTAAAATTGGAAAATCATTAGATGGATTAAAAGGAGCCAAAAAGAGTTCTCTATCTCTGAAGACTGGGTGAACTTTACTATTATCATCTCGTTGCCTAGGAAAGAATGATAGTGATCAAAAGCACCATGCAGAAAATCAGGTGTTGGGGTTTGAAGTAGTGGGTGCCCAAGTAGGGCTGAGCTTTGATTTGGAGTCCTGCGCACTTGGCCACCTGACTCCAGTGGGCTCCACCCTTCCAGGTGAATTGTTAATCTGAGGTCTGCAGTGAGGTGTGTTCTGAATCCTTTAGCAACAAGAATGAAGAAATTGACCTTTCTACAGTTTCTAATAAGAGGTTTCACTTCCTTGACAGGTTAACGAATGTTTTTTCCTGGGAGAGATACATGGGCAGAGTAAATCCTCCCATTAGAGACTATTCTCTGCTAATAAAAGGCCTAGCTCTGCTAAAGTGAGTTTGTTCAAGCTGCTGTTCATTTAGGAAAGGAGGGGTGGGGCGAGAGTTCTGCATTTCACTCAGTGGTCACCATCTCAAAACTCACATATGGAAAAATCTCTTCTCGCCTGGCATCTGAAAAAATAATGAATATAAAAGAAACATACACCCCTGATGGTGTATGAAAAGAAAAGAAAGAAAATGGGCCTGAATAAAAACACCTGCCACAGGGATCCGCCTCTGGCTACAAACCTCAGATAGACGGCAGACCGTGCCATGGAATCCTTTTGAAGTGAAACAGAACTCTTGAAACCCTAATTATAATCATATCTGTGCTGGCTGGAATTGCAGCCAACTACAGAGAGTGGTCTATTAGATTTCCCATTTGTCTGAAGCCCACACATCATTGAAAAGCCTTGAAAGCACTTGGCAGTTGTCAGAGCCACAGTCAGCGTGACTACACTTCCTTTTTGACCCCGAGTAGGGGCATAAATAATTCATCACGTTGCCAGAGTGTGCCCTACGGTCTTCAGAGTGTTCTTGCATACATTATTATCTCGTTCAAAATTCACAACAACTCAGAGATGTAGGAATTATTACTCTCATTTTACAGATGAGCACATGGGGGCTCAGAGTGGTTAAGTGCCTGGCCCAGTATGCAGCCAGTAGTAGAAGAAATGGAACCTGATCAACAGGATATTTGGTGAAAAGAAAACAAGAAAGAAAGGCATGAAAATAATTCCTCAAAATATATCCTATGGCCAGTCTCGTTTCCCTAAGACACGCGTTAC